GACATGCTGGTAGGTTAATTGGCTTCTGGTAAAATCGGTCCAGGTGTGAGTGTATGTCTGTGCACATCCTGTGACGGACTGGCATCCTGTCCTGCCTTTTGTCTATTGATAGACTCCAGCTCCCCTGTGACCCTCAATTGGAAGAAGCAGTTAGAAAATGGATGGATGTGTCTGACACTTATCGAAAGGGACATACATGTGAACCCACTTACTCAACTGGGTTCTTTACCACAACTTTACTCGAAGGTACAAGAGCAACACTCCACCTGAGACCAGAACACACATCCTTCCAGTTACAAGGCCAGCACCCTAACTTCTGTATAGAGGCACCATGCATCTGGTATTTACAGTATACTCACTACATTAATGTTTCAGAATATAAATTATATACCAATATTATTTCACCCACCTTCTCAAACCTTTTCAAAATCCTACCATTCTACACAAGATTAAGTTTTTAAAAAAAAATTAAGTTAAAGCATAAAGTCAATAACCACAACTAGTAAGGGATATGTTTTATGTTGTGGAAAAAATATTGGTCGTTAATACTGGATTTCTAAAGTTGTTACCAGTATCAAACTGTAGCCTGACCAGCACAGGATTCTCAATTTTAATCAGTATAATTAATATACTTTAGTATACTTTTCAGACAGTAATTTTGTCTGCATTCACATCAATTCAAAACCAGACACTATATCGGCACTGATCCAGTTTGTGAACAAGGAGATATTCAATCAAACAAAGGTGTAAGACAGGCTGGGCAGAGGAGGTCATCTCAATAAGCCTGTGCAGCCTGGATGTGAACAGTGCTCCTCATTGTTAAAGAGTTGAAATAAAAGAAGGCTTAAATATAACCATGTCCCAGGGGAACTGATAAACACTATGGCTATTTAAAGTGCTTATGTATTAAATTAAAAAGAGAACAGTTTCAGGCTTTAGTTTATATTGTCTATCATTTAAAGAATGATATTTCTAAAACAAAAAGGTGATTGTTGAACCACCAAAACAATTTTTTTCATTGTTTGGAATTTAAAGAGTACATAATCTTATTTGAGATGCATATACTACAGTGTATTTACAGTACCTGAGGTTTTTATATTATACAGTGTTTTATTATGCCTTAAAACTGACTTGCAGTTTGAATTGAGTTGTACTTCATGTGAAATATACATTTCATCTTTTGTTTTTCAGAGGTGACAGTTTGAATGTAAGTTACTCAAAACAAGAAAAGCAAACCAAATCTAAGAATCATTTTACCTTTTGGTGGTGCAGTACTCAGTGTTGCACAGAGTAATGACAGTAGCCTTTATTTTATAAGGGTATTGTAGTACATCGGAAGGCAGTCTACAATACAATAACCAAGCAAGTGCACTAATTCATTTAAACAGATTTAAAAGCAAGTACAAAAGGGAGTTTTAAGATGACATTTAAACCCTGCCACCCAGTGCTTTCAAAGGGGGCTTTGCAACTTCACAGCCTTGGAGCAGCTGAAAAAGCGGTTTTCCCAGCCTCTTATTTTAATACCCTCTGAACTGAAAGAATATCAGAGTCTCAAGACAGCAATTGACATACTAGAGGGGTGTACAAATTAAACACGGTTGCAATCAGGAGCCAAACCAAGAGTCAGATGTCTAAAATTATGTTCCAACGTCAACATTGTACATAACAGCTTTTGCCACTACAAATTACATCTTTGCTTGACCTTGAACTTTAACAGCCATTCACAGCATGTGACTTGCCATAGCAGTAATTTAATTTGCAGAGAAATCTTTCCATCACAGTACTTAGCTATGTATCCGCAGCACTATAAAATATGGGACACCATCCTAACAGCTTGCACTCATGCATGGAAAATATAAGAAACATCCCCAATTAAAGATACACTGTACACAGCGCAAGTATTTTCAAACGCTATGTTGCATCTCGAGATTTTAAAAGAGCTCTTACATCCTTGGAAGCATATCTAATGACTTCAACATGACACAGTAGTCATGCCTTTCTACTTAGTACCAGGTTCGGTTGGACATGATTAGAGCTCAATAACTTGAAAACAACGTGCAGGGGAACGCGAAAGATGGTCAAGATGGACTTCCTCAAAGAAAACACTGACGCAGGGGGCAATGTGGCCTAGCATTGGGACAGGCATTTTTGGGCCCATGACCATTAAAAAAAAATAAAACCTAGCTGTCTTGGACTGCTAATCTTGTATGAATCCAATACCACTGATAAAAGTACTTGTAAGTTACAAAATCTAATTAGCCTTCTGTTCACGGTATCCTGGGGATAGTTTACGGAGCAGGTTTTGGACTTTTTTAGCTATTTTAGCTTGCGATTGCAGGGATACAGCCTTGCTCACGTTTCAAATGGGGGATCTATAATAAATATGTCCTTCTAGGACTATGTAGAGACTATTTGTCTGAATATAAAAACTGAAAATAATTGAAAGATCTTCTGAACATGCGGTTTAAACTGAACCTCTCTCTCCTGATAGTTTGCTTGTTTTAAAAAACTCTCAAGGAGAGCTTTGTCCACGGATCAGCTTAAAGAGCCGATACTGTATGAATTAGCAAGTATGTGCGACATCTCCTAGATACGAAAGCCCTTGCCACCACGTAATTTTCACACATACGTTCATCCGGGGGGATAATATTGAATCGTGTTTCAAGTCATAAGTCACGGTATTCTAACGTCGTTAGAAGTTTAAAAGCTAAAACTAGAAATCAAACATACAAACAACAAAATATACGTAATCAGGCACTTTAATAAGGGTAAATGCTTTGCGCTGGTTTAATACTCCTGCAATGACGCTTTTCTGTCACGCCTCGTGTCGCTGCTCAAAGGAGCCCAAAAGCAATTCCTTTGTGTTGAGTAAAATACTTAACATCTGCGCAAAGTAGAAGTAAATGAGAGCAAAGGGGGTTATTAAACTTTTCCCCCGCAGCCGACATCTGATCTGTCGCAGCAGTAGGCGGAGAGCTGCAGTCCCTTCCCCTCCCCCGTCTGTCGTCTTTGATTCACTTTCAGAAGTCCTGCATCCCTTCAAGTTTGCGGGATACCTGACAGGTCGTGCGAAACCAACATGGCAGACAGCGGTTCACCCGAAAGTGTGGAACAAGACGCAGGCATTGTGGTAACTATTGATCACCGACTACTCTATTATGCAAAATATTTTTTTCCTGAACGAAAAAAAGTTTCCGTTTCATAACTGTTCTTATCCGTAAGAAAACCTCTACTTGTAATTCGGGTTTTTTAATCTGCAGTATGATGTGCTTTTAAACCACATTCCTTTCCTTTGAGATGTGGTCAACTTTTTTCAAGTTTGCAGAATACCGTCGTACGACGCCGCAAAGCCTACTTGAGGAATAATAAGATACACGTGGTTAACTGGGAGCAGCTGACCGCTGCAAAACCGATCAAACTTTTAACTAAAGTTAAGACTCTGGAAAGCAAGCAAGTAACGTTTTGTGTGCGATGAGGGTAAAACAGTATTCGTATTCACAACGAAGACTTTAAATCCTCGCAAACGCAATTGGAAGTGACAGCCGTGTGGTATGCAGCGATGCGATATCGTTTTAAAAGTTGAGACCAAGATTGTCAGTCAATCCAAATCGGGGGGGAGCTTAGATAAAATTTAAAATGCATGCACGTGATGCTACACTGAACCTGAAATGTGAAAAATGGAAGCTGTTGATATGTTGTAATGTACAGGGGTCAAGAAAAAAAAACATTGTTCGGTGTTGTAACTTAACGTTCTTAGTGGCCGTCTATAACGGTGCGTTTCTCCCTGTGTGTGTTGTGCACACTGGTCAGAATGTTAGAAATTAATGTTAGTTACTTAACATTAACGAACTTCTTGAATGGGCATTGCATGAACCCCATTAGATTGTTCAACGTTTTGTAGTCCTATCCATCCCACTTTTACAGCAGGATCACCTTCAACTGCAGTTGGGATGGGGAAGTGGAGTGTGGGATCAGAGCTGTGTTCCACTGGCCATCTGTAGGCTGGTGATCTGGAGTCCTGCCTGCAGAAGGAGAGAGAGAGAGGTCTTGCACCACTCAGCCCAATCATTCCTTGAGTGCTACTGGGAAAGTAATTCTGGACCAGTTAATGTACAGTAGCCTCTGACTCTCTTCACAACCTTGACCAACTGCCTAAAGATGATTCATTGCTCACAACGTTCAAACTGACAACATAAGTACATTTCTGAATGCATGTTCATACTAAATCAAACACTGTAAATGTAATCCACACATTTTATCAGGTTGTTCTTCTAGACACATCCTTGATTGCCTTTTTGTATTCCATGAAACCGAGCACAGTGCAAAACACTTAGTACATCATGGGGTAAATAAGAGATCTGAAAAAGTGCAAGGTCAAAGAATCCCATCCTCAACAGCTCCAGAAAAAAAAAAAAGATTCTGATAGATTTGATACAATCTTTCAACATTGGTGTCCCATCAGTAGGAGGATGGGCTCAAATGGGTGAGATTCAGACAGATGTGCGTTTGCCAACTAATCAATTCAGCAGATTCAGCTCTTATTGAGCTCCATATGAACAGCAGCACAATCTTGGATCTGCCTCTTCAAGCAGACAGGATTTCTCCACTCTTGCATACAGTAAGGCTCAGAAAGGAGATCAGTTTACACTTCGAGTGGTTGTCCTGTTCTTGATATGTTACGGAAGTTCTGTTTGTCCTGTTGCCTGCAGCTCTTTGAGGTTTTGTCCCGTTTTAGGACATGCTTGTTGTGGGTGTTTGGCAAGGCCTCAGCCATCTCTATCAGGAATTACTCTAATCCTTTCTGCAATACGATTGAGTAGTAATATTGAAGTGCTGGATATGTGCAATATATAGGAGTCCCACTTCAGAAACATGATGTTGGGTGAAACAGCCTTATCAGCAGTATGATTAGAACAGATGAAATATTGAAAAGACCTTGCCATCCCTTCTGTGAAGCATATAAACAGTTTTATATGGACCAGAAGATGCAGAACTGTAGGAAAGTTTCCCCAGTATATTCTTGTTCAAAACAAGAACCTAATTTGTTTGCCTGCAAAGTTCACAAAAGGTTAATGTACTGCATGCATAAAACACAATGATCAATAGGTTAAGAAGGCATAAAAAAAAATCAACTGAAAACTCAGTGTTCTTGACTGGACATCACAGTCTCTAGAACAGGACACTCCTTCCCTGAGCCTGGAGAGCCTCATTGCAGTTAATCTTACAGGCGAGATTGAAAACAATCTGCAAGCTATTGATGGAATAAGCATGCAATGTTTTGAGTTAAAGGAACTCTGGTGCTTGGAGACTGAAAGACTTACTGATTTGACTTCTCATTTAGTAAATAACTGGTTTATTTAATCACAGTTGGGTTGTTCTAGGTCTGTATTGAATGGGAAGAGTTGAAGGCAGATCACACAACCTGGGGAAACTGGACAGATGTGCATGGAGGCATGGACAGTAACTGCTCACAAGGCTGCAGAACCCTTCTCCTTGACTATCAAAGCACTGTACAATAAATACAGTGTACAGTATGCATTTATACATACAATATTGAAACTCTTAAGGGTTACATTTTTGATTTGGTGTTGTAAAAACTGCCAAATACATAGCTGAAATTCCATGTTAAATCCTTAGTGCTTCATTCAAAAAAGCAATTATAAAAGTGCTGCTTCATTCAGGTGGAAAAGTCCCTAATCTTTAATAAGCTAATGAGTTGATCAATATTTTCTTTCAGATCAAAGATGATTTTGCAGGCTACAGCTTGGATCTGTTCTCCTATCCAGAGCACTACTTTGAAGATTTAGCATGCGTCTACATACCACATGGAGTTATCATGGATAGGTAAGGTTTCATTTCAAATTCACCATGCTTAAATAACTTGAGCAATACAGAAAGTTAAATTCTTACTTTGATATACACCTCCAGAAAAAACATACAAGAGATATGCTCCAAAACAATATTGGAGAACTTGTTGATTTTGCACATTTAGCATATTCATTCACAGAGTGATTTCTATTAATACTAAGTTTTTGTGAAAAAATAGTAACATTACACAAGAAAGTCATATCAGGTTAAATGTTTTTGGAAGAATTTGAGAATTCAAAAACAATGTTGTGACATGGTATAATAGGATCTTTAAAAATAGGTGGG